CAACAGTTGATTAATAAGTTGATACTAAGCTGATTAATATTCGGACTGATCTAACATCGTTTGGCTATACAACATTTAATTCTCCTCTATTCCTTGTAAGTTGTCTTGTTAATTGTTTTGTAACTTATTGTTCTGTGTTTTTTGTATCTACCTGTTAGCACCGGATCCTGGTGCTGAATAAATATATTAAGCATTCATTCTTCTCTGTATATCATTCACCTCGACGATACAACAGAAAGTCGAAAAATTGTGAAGAGGAGTGGTCGCCAGCGGAAAGAAAAACGATGAACGTGTGTAAATAGATGGAAAAATAATGGTTTAGGATCGATAACAAAAAGACAACATTTAAAAGCTACACAACACAGAAAGTTGTGGAGAGCCATGATTTCCTACGTCATCAAGGAAAACGGTACATAAAAGAAGAAGATTCCATTTTTATTACTTCTGAAATCAATTGGTAACTTACGTTACGATTAAGGACTTCAAAAGTTGATTATTATCTAGCTAGCACCTCTTCAGCACTCTACAAGATGGCCTTCTTCATAGCTTTATATAGTCTACGATTAAGGATTTCAACAGTTGATTAATAAGTTGGTTAATAAGTTGATACTAAGCTGATTAATACTCGAACTGATCTTACTTCGTTTGGCTATACAGCATTTGAGCCTCCTCTATTCTTTGTAAGTTGTCTTGTTAATTGTTTTATAATTTATCGTTTTTTGTATGTATCCGTTAGCGCCGGATCCTGGTGCTGAATAAATATATTAATCACTCATTCTTCTCTGCGTATCCTTCACTTCGACGATACAACAGAAAGTTGTCTTTAAGGCTATTCTTCTGGATCTTTTACATTAATGTAGGTTTTTCCAATGGCTCGTTCCTTTCAGCAACTCATTTCCATCAACTATTTTCAGGATTTTTTTAAAAAGCAAATCACCTCAAACAAGGCGGGAAATATGTAGTTCCAGTTTTAATAACTTAGGCGAACAGTCTGATTCTTCAAACTATCGGCCAATTAATATTCTACCTTTTTTTTAAGTAAAGTCCTAAAGGCTCTAATTGACTCTGATTAATCAGGACACCTCGTAAGTTTTATTTTCAGATAAGTAATATGGCTTTCGCTTCTCTAAGACAACTGCTGATGTGCTAACGATTATTGCTGAAAGCGTTTGTCAGGTTTTAGATAAGAATGGTCAAGCTTGGACTGTTGTTTTGTATATCTTGAAAGACTTTGATAGGGTTTGGAATGCCGATCTTCTCTACAACTTGGCATGAAGATTTTCTACATAAATTAAAATGTTATAGCATTTCTGGATGAAATTCTGAACGGATTCAGTCTTTCTTACCAGATCTCGAAGTGAAAGTGTTGTAGAGTAGCTTCATCACTCTACCAGATGATCTGGATCATAGCCTACGATTAACGACCCTCCTCTATTCCTTGTAAGTTGTCTTGTTAATTGTTTTGTAACTTATTGTTCTGTGTTTTTTGTATCTACCTGTTAGCACCGGATCCTGGTGCTGAATAAATATATTAAGCATTCATTCTTCTCTGTATATCATTCACCTCGACGATACAACAGAAAGTCGAAAAATTGTGAAGAGGAGTGGTCGCCAGCGGAAAGAAAAACGATGAACGTGTGTAAATAGATGGAAAAATAATGGTTTAGGATCGATAACAAAAAGACAACATTTAAAAGCTACACAACACAGAAAGTTGTGGAGAGCCATGATTTCCTACGTCATCAAGGAAAACGGTACATAAAAGAAGAAGATTCCATTTTTATTACTTCTGAAATCAATAGGTAACTTACGTTACGAATTTCTGCACATTGGTAGCATAAACTTACTGTAATAGTAAGATTCATTGTGATTAATGTACTCTTCATTTGCTGACAATTTTTTTTTGTATCTTCTGTGCTTCTGTAAAAAAAAAACAACTTTCTCCAGTTATAAATGTTTTCACACTTCATGTCATTATAATTTTTCGCCCTATAGATAAAAGGCACTAAAGAAAAATCTTCTTTATTTTAACTTTACAGATTGGATAAGGTTCGTGATCTTTTTTTGAATAAACCCAGGCAATGCCGGGTAATGCTGCTAGTATATAAAATATCAATTTTATTGTCAATTTTGTTAACATTATGTTGGCTTTTTGTTACTCAAATTTAATTAGACACCCTATTAAATTTACAGATAATAAGAAGCACACGTAGGCCATCTTTCGTTTTAATAATCGATATATATATATATATATATATATATATATATATATATGATAGAAATTATTAGAAGAACTTGATAATTATAATTAAGTAATTCATCGAATCTAGAAGAAACCTCAACAGAATTCAGAAAGCACTGGACGGCCGTTTCGTCCTATATTTGGAACTCATCATCCTAATAATTTCTATCACTTGTATATCATTGCTTGAACCAGCTGTTTAAGGCTCAAGTTTGAGCGGCTTGGTGGGCACTGTCCTATGGTTAGAGAGAATCTCAGTTGAGTTCCACCACGGAATATGTGAGAGAGCGGCGCTATATTGAGTCTGATTTGCTACCTCTTCGCCACCGAGGCCCGTTGAACAGTTGGTATGACGCTTGCTTGATAACCTAACCGCCCGGGTTTCAATTCTCGGTAGTGGATGGGCACTGCTGATGAGTCCCAAATATAGGTCGAAACGGCCGTCCAGGGCTTCCTGCATTCTGTTGAAGTTTATTTCAGACTCGATGAATTACTTAAATATATATATATATTTGGTTGGATTGATGTGAAACTCACATCAATCCAACCGAATATCTCTGATATTGAGCGCTTTCTAATAAGTACCGCGCATATAATATATAAATAATTATTTATATACAGACACTTTTCATATATATATATATATATATATATATATCATTTGTGTATTTAGGCAGCGATCCTTCTTTCGCGCACATTTCATTAAATGCGACAGACAAGGTGCTTTTATTTAGTTTTTTATACAATTTCTCATGTGATCTTATAATTTTTTCTTTTTGGATGATAAATTATATAAAAACTGCCATAAAGTTATTTTTTTTTTTTTTATTCTTTTTATTCTTTTTATTTTAAAAATAAAAATAAAAATAATGGAAGCCTTATTATAAAAACAAAACAAAAAAATAACAATACGTAATAATATTAACTATGAACATGGACACAATATCTTGACCGTGTTTTGAAAAATAAAAACATTTTATAAAACATACATGCAACAAACTATTTCTTATTTAACAGTTAAAATATTTAATCCTTGCAAATGGCTAAATGTATAGCCAAAAGCGCACGGCTAAAAAGAACATTCAGATAGTTTTTATATAATTTATCATCTGAAAAGAAAAAATATTAAAACGCTTAAGAAATTGTATAAAAAACTAAATAAAAGCACTTTCAATGAAATGTGCATATATATATATATATATATATATATATATATATATATATATATATATATATATATATATGTATGTATATTTCACTGAATAATATATACATATTATATATATATTTATTTTATAATGATCATTTTCATTTCTTTAAGCAGTTTCTTGATGTTAAGACGAAATTCATCAAGGAAGACGCTGTGACTTTTTCTTACGTATCATCTCTTTGAAGATCATCCTCAAGGGTGAGATACCAAGGCAAATCTTTTGTAACTGTGACTAGCATGATAACAGAATTTCTAGCAGCGACCATAAAAACTGAATCAATAATACTCTTTCTACATCAAGTCAGTTTACACTGATCGAAATACACTTGGAAAAAGGCCCAACGATATAATGGCTGAAAGAGGAAGACAATAGTTCGAATCTATAAGTGTATAAGTAATGGTGACTCCTTATTCCAGAAATTCAGACAGGCGATCAGGTGATAATAGCAACAAACGTGAGGAGAATAGTCAGCATGTAAATCATTTAAATAATGATCCCAAAGATTTTAACAGAAAGTGATCAGGTGATAATAACAACAAAGATTAAGATATTAGTCCACATGTAAATTATATGAATAAAGATAACTCCGGATCCCCAAATTTAAGAGGTGATAATAACAATAAAGATAAGGATATTAGTACAAATGAAAATAATATAATGATATCTCCCCATTCTAGAAATCCAGATATGAGGCGATTGGGTGATAATAACAAAAAAGATGAGGAAAATAATCGAAATGTAAATAATATAAATGAAGATAACATCTAATCTCAGAATTTCGGACAGAAGGTGATTGGGTGATAATAACAAAAAAGATGAGGAAAATAATCGAAATGTAAATAATATAAATGAAGATAACATCTAATCTCAGAATTTCGGACAAATGCGATGAACAACAAAGATACGGACATTTGTCCTCATGTAAATAAATCTTGACGAATAAAATCTGATAGAAGGCGACGATGGCATAATAACAACAAAGATAAGATTAGACGCGTGTAAATCATATAAATAATGGTATCACCTAAAACAAACATAAGGAAAATAGACTGCATGTAAATAATAACTCCTCATCGCAGAAATTCGGACAGAAGTTGATTGGGTGATAATAACAAAAAAGATAAGGACAATAATCTGAATATAAATCATATAAATAATGATAAATGCTGATCCCAGAAATTCAGACATAAGGCGATCAGGTGATAATGACAACAAAGATGAGGACAATACTCCGAATGCAAATAATGTAGATAATGATAACTCCTTATCGCAGAAATTCAGACATAAGACATCTGGGTGATAATAAAAAAAAAGTGTGGGCAATAGTTCTCATGCAAATAATATAAATAATGATATTTCCTCATCCCAGAAATCCAGACTTTAAGCGATTTGTTGATAATAACAACAAAGATGAGGAAAATAATCCATATGTGAATAATATAAATAATGTCAATGCCTCATCCCAGAAATTCAGATAGAAATCTACGATAGACACTTTTTGTTTTTGTTTTGGAAAGTTCTTCCCATAATTCAATAAAATAAATGACATGTCACTAAAGTTTCTCTCTCTCTCTCTCTCTCTCTCTCGCTCTCTCTTTCTCTCTCTGATCTACAAGTTTAAGCACACATTCATAGAATGTTGACACGTCTTAGCAGCTCGATAAAATTGAATCTAATTTTATCACGAGGAAAAAATGGCGTAGGCACGATATTTTAATTACTAGAACGAGGCTGTCAGCAGAGTGAAAGAAGAAATGATTTTCTTTAATTAGTAATAGATAAATTGAAAAAGGTTGTCATCACATACAATTCTCGATTAAAAAATGTTTCTTTTAATCTAAAAAAAAATTCTTTGAATGGGTTTGTTGCAAGAAAATATTCGCGCCAAAACTAGTTTCATTCAAAAGAAATTCCTTGAACGGCGTTCTCCATTGACGCAGGTTTTCTTAAGAAAGAATTCTATTAATTAAAATTAAATTCTTCACCAAATGTATTTCTTAATCATAAAAAATTCATTGAATACAGCGGATGAATGTAAGAAATAATCAAACAAACTGCAAAAAATTAAAAAAAAATGCCTTTTAACCAATCAAACATGCTGACTTTATCGTAAGGGATTATAATACCATTTCTATTAAATGATTTCATGCCTATTGAATTCTGTACCCGGTAATTCCTTAAATTCTATAACTGTGCACTGTACTTATTCGAATCAATCATTTGGTTCAGATTAGAGTGATTCCTTAAATTCTATAACTGTGCACAGTACTTGTTCGAATCAATCATTTGTTTCAGATTAGAGTTGCCTCTTCAAATACCAACATATTTATAGTATCACATCCAGTTCATATTAGTTTCAGTGATTCAGTTCTTTTTCACCACACTCTGGTATTATTGGTTTTAAAGAATTCGTTTTTTTTAAACATTTTTCGCCTATCGCTTATCTCAGTACTTGTTCGAATTGATCCTTTGGTTAAATTTTATAATGATCCCTTCTACTCCAGCTGCTTTAAATAAATAATATCATATTGTTTGAATGAAAACCGTCCTATGGTAGGGTTAGTGGATCAATTAAATCGCTCCACGATCCTTGACGTTCCGTTTTTTAATGTATCAACTTTTTGCGCGGTTGTTTTAATAGGGAGCATTCGCTTATTATCGGGTATACTAACGCTAACGGGTGTAAGCATCGCATGGCGGTTATAGGAGATCAAAATAGGGTGGGTGTGTTGAGTTATCATTTATGGAAATCTCCTTGGAAAGGTACGAAGCCGTCAAAGAAAAGCTAATCGATAATAACAAAACAGAGGAGTGATCGATCCTTTGTTGGCATAAAAGATAGGTTTCGAATTCAAAACCGTTTGGAGACTTACGGCTATATTACGATGAAACCCAATACGATCACCAAAGTTAAGCAACGTCGAGCTTGGTCAGTGACTAGATGGGTGACCGCTTGGAAATACCAATCAGCTTAGATAAGAGGTGTAATAAAAAAAAACAAAAAAACTCTTAGAGTCATATGACGTTAAAACATTGGTTCGCGTACGATCACCGAAGCTAAGCAACGCTGAGACGGGTAAGTACGTAAATGGGTGACCGCTTGCGAATACCAGCTGCTGTAAGCTTATGTGTACGGGTGGTGCAATGGAAAACGACTCAGAATTGAAAAACGGAGAACCGAGTTCAACTCACAGTCAACTTTGTTATATTCACTTGAGCCAAAATACCCTTGGGAAAGGTATACATCCATCTCTTCTCCCCACAGCTATGGGTTAATTAGTAGAATTTGTATCAGTATATCCTTATTATGATCCCAAATTCTAAAAATATTTTCTGGCCTTAAATATCCTGCAAAAGGTTGATAAGCGGTAAAAAACCCCCAAATCACTGAAAACTATTTGGAGACAGGGCTTGTAATTCCACCGTATAAAACCCCTACTTATTACAGAAAACACTGGAGCAGCACATATTGTGGTGAAGCTGTGGCCTTATACCTCATGGGTAGTCCACAGGATTAAACTAGTGTTATGGACGCAATTTTCAATCACCCAGCATAGGCCAAACTTCTTGTGTAATATCCATTGAGGATATTGCCTGTCATCGTGCTCTACAATGTCTAATCTTTTGTAACTCAGTAAATTTTGTCTGTTTGCTATCTCTCCTGATCCCGTCTTCCTATCTATCTCTTTTTATATATATATATATATATATATATATATATATATATACGTTTCATTAAATAATATAGACAAGTGTTGTCTATTTATTTTATGTAATTTTTTTCGTAATGTCTGATAAGTTTAATAACATTATCGTTGAACGAAGAAAGAAATCCACAATATTGATCCATATTTTTTTTTTAATACAATCTAAGCTTTCGGCTTACATAAGCCATTATCAAAGATGTCAATTACAACATATTAAGCAATATACGGACAAGACAGTGATGACAAGTCTGTGAATGTTTACTTAGATGATCTCTAAGCAACGATAAACACGTAAACACCTTATATATGAGAAAATTATTATACATACTTAAAAAAAGTGAGACATGATGTTTTATTAGAAATTTTATTTTGACAAAAAAGAAAAAAGCATTTTATGATTAAATTTTAGTCTCGTCAAGATATCCTCCTTTGGCCTTGATTACTGCAGCACAATCTTTTGATATTCATTTTTCATTTTTCACCCTTTTTTCTTCAAGTTTATCACATGATAATTCAGGGGGAGGGGTTGAAACTTTGAACTGTAGTATATATATATATATATATATATATATATATATATATATATATATATATATATATATAGCTTTTTTTGAATTCGTAGGTCGGATGAATTGGATCGTATTTACGATTCCAATGGAATAAATTATGACCATGGAATATTAGTGTTTAAGCCTTTTTTTATTATATATATATATATATATATATATATATAAATAAATAAAAAAAAAGAACAGTAAGATATAAAATCCGGTGTTCTTATAGATATTTTTATTTTTACAAAATAGTGCTCAATGTAAATTTACAGAGCATTAATATTATAAATTAATTGATTATTTTAAATCAGTTAATTTATTATATAATATATATATATATATATATATATATATATATATATATATATATATATATATATATATATATATATGAAGAGGTCCCCGTCGTTAATTTCGATGTGCTTTTAACCAACTCGACCATGAAGAACCTTTGTCGACTCTTCTAAGAATAACGTTTAAAATAATGCAATCTGTCGGATTAATAAATAAATAATTTTTTTTTTTCTTTAGAAACTCGTCAATAAATTAAAAAAAAATCAAATACAATATTTTCTTTACTTACTGCATAACGAAGTTTCAATCTACCCAAGAGGGGCGCAGGTTCGAATCCTATCTGTGGGTGCATATTTTCCTTTAATAATGTTTCACAAATATTCAGGCCGGTAGACGAAAATAAATAAATATATTGTTTAATAAATAAATGGAGCGTCTACTCAAATATGAGTATCCACTACGAAAAACGTTGTAATAATAAGGACCTGTTACAATTCTATGGCACTACACAAAACACACTGACAGAACAATCAAGGCCAACCAGCCAGATATTGCTATTAAAGACCACAAACAAAAACGGTGCCTCCTTATTGATATGGCAGTCCCTGCTGACTGCAATGTATCTTTGAAGATATTCAAAAAGTTGTCAAAATACAAAGACCTTGAAATAGAAATCTCGAAAATGTGGCATATAGGAAATCAACAATCCCTGTTGTAGTTGGAGCCCTAGGACTGGTTGGAAAAGATTGCAGTAGACTAATTGAAGGAATTACTGGAAGTCCATGCCTCAAGGAGATACAAAAATTTGTTCTGACAAGTACAGTCCACACCTTACGAAGTGATTTATCTATGTAATTTAATTCTTTTTTTTTTTTTCTGTCAGTGGAAAGTGTCATGACGCCATTTCTAACCTTAGGTCCCTGGGCGGGACCCGGAAAGAAATGTGTAAACGCCAGAAATCAAAGAAAATAATAATAATAATAATAATAATAATAATAGTAAGACAGATATGGACCAACAGAAAACACATCAGTGGCTGAGGAGCATTGGGTTGAAAGCTGAGACATAAAGCCTAATTATTCCGAGGAGTCAATGACTGCTGCGTTATGAAGTCGCGAAAAATCTCTTACAGACTTCGAAACTCTGTCTGTAAAAGACCCTTACCTAATGTGCCGGGTAACTTTGGGTGAACTTTTGGACCAGTGCGTCACACGGGGAACAATATGAGAACTAAAAGTCAAGCCAAAAAGTCCAATATGGCTCTTCCAGTTGATAAATAGAGGGTCTGTCCCTCAGGAGGCAACCTGCCTGAGGAACAAACTCCTAAATAAATAATGAATCAGGACCCCACAACCGGTATAATCCCAATGATGGCCCTGCGAATTCTCCAACTAGACCCACAACCATTCATTTAATGAAATGAATGGTAAAAGGGTCTCGTGAGGTGTACAAATTCATTATGACTGCATTCTACGAAGCGTTGCACAAACTTCACAAAACATTACTCGCCAAACATATGGCATTTAGCGAGGAACAAGCAATTAGAAAATACAGTGACGAAAATAAAATTGCCTATGTAAGAAGGTACATCATGAGAAATAACTGATTTACTGATGCTGAAATTAAAGAAATAACAAAAACTGCAACAAGAATAGGTGGGTCAGCAGAACATGAAAGGGTACCAGAAATGGACATAAGAAGTACTTGTTACAGTTTTTTTGTCTATATGTATATATATAACTAGTGAGTTAGCTCAAATGACTTGACTCACTTTATAGTCTACCAATAGAAGGTTAACCAATCAGAAGACGTAGAATATTCAATCCGTCGTGTATAAAGGCGGCCATTTTTGTCTACTCTATCCGAATGTCTAGTTCCAGCTTGTCAGGCGAAGAGAAACAGAAGGACGAATTATGCTCTGCTACTTTTACCAAAATATCCACTGCTAACCTGAACTACACTTTCCTACTGTCTTCGAAATATTCACTGCTAACCTCTGGATTCTATACTCGAAGACGACCGTCATCATGAATAACAGTACTAACATCACACATACTACAAATCATATTAAGTTACACACCAATCACTGTGAAGACAATGCTGAACGTTTAGAAGAGTTCTAATGGCGTGAACATAGTCGCTCACAGGCCTGCAATAAAGCGAACATTAAACCAAATTACTTTACGGAAAACAAGAATAGTTTACTAGAAGCCAAGGAAGAAATCATGAGGCCTATAAGTCAGACACAAAATGTTGAAATGGAGCAACGAGAAAAACTTTCCAAAATTACAACCAACAAAGAATAATCTCAAAACTTTAACTTTGCAATACAGAACTCAAATTAATTCTGGATGAAGCAGGCCCGCATATAAGTCTTAACAAAGCAATATATGGATCAGCAACTAAGAAATTAAGGATCAATGTAAAAAAAAGCAGCAGTTTCACAGACATGAAGATCCACCTGGGAAAATAGCGAAAGAAATTAGAAGTGAATTATTAGTACTTAATGAACTGGTAAGAGGAACGAATATAAGGACTAGAAAAGTGAGAAAATTCAAAAGAAAAGTCCTGTCAGCTAAAGAAAAAATAAAGCGGGCAATAAAACTTAAGGTTCAAAGAATCGGACGCTATGAAAAAAAAGATCAAGATTCTACAGACAGACTTGCTTGGATTGAGGAATCGGTGGGCCGAGTTTGAATTTCGGTCGAGTACGTTACATTCACTTATGTTATTCTGGGTATAACGATAAAATACATCCAGCTGCAGGGCCTCTGATCAGTAAGTTTTGAGGGGCATGTAAACACCCTTTAATTGCTGTTGTTCCCAGGTCCACCCAGACCCGGGTTGGTAGGCCCTGTTAGGGTTCTAGCTATGGGCAAATAGTTAATTCCAAACTGGTTGTGGTGCAAAACATTACGAAAGTATTTAAAAAAATTATAGTAAAAATATCAGCAATACATTGTCAGAGTAAAATTATTACAAAAATAACTTTCTGTAAGAAAAAAATAATACCAGCAATAAAGGCTAAGACGATAAACTGCGTCTAATAACAGCAAGGCCTCTGATAAGGAGGTTTTGAGGAGAGTGGAACCAACTCTTAATTGCTGGTGATCCCAGGTCCACCCTGTCTCGGGGTGGTAACACCTGTTAGGGTTCCCAGCTATGGGCAAACCGATGCGAAGAAATTTTACAGAGAAATAGGCAAACAAAAAATTGAAGTGACAACCACACCAGCAATTGAAGAAGTTATACTGTTTTGGGAAAAAATATGGGCTTGCCCTAAAGAAATTAACAAAGAAGCAGATTGGATTACGAAAAAGGTAGGACTGATGAAAAATAAACCAGAACAAACATAGACGGGAATCACAGAAGAGGATGTTGAATGTGCACCGAGAAAAAAACATAATTGGAAATCTCCTGGAATAGATAAAATTCCTAAATTTTGGCTCTATTATCTAAATACAGCACAGACTAGTCAAAGAACTTCAAGAAATGGCCAATGATCCTACTAAAATTTTGGTATGAGTAACTGTAATGGTCCGGTTCCTTGTACCCCGGGTGATGGTCCAAGGCAGAACCAATAAAGAAGAACTCGAACACGGATATGGAATAACACAGATATATTACAAACAGGAATATATACAGAGAAGTAGAAAGTGTTAGTACGAACAATCAGGTTTAGTAGGGAGAACAATGTAGTCTCGACCAGTATCACTATTCAAATGTCTTGCAGTAATTGTTTTAACGCGACTCTGTTTCGGACTGCCTCTGACTCGACTGACTGACTCACTTGCTCTAACTGACTGACAGACTTCTGACAGACTTCACTCCAGACTTCAGACTGAACTCTCTGCTTCCTCTTGAGGCGCAGTATTTATTACGTATGGAATAGTCCATTATGTTATTATGGGTAAGGTCCCATAACAGTAACCAAATGTATTATCTTCTTTCTACCCAAGAATGATGACACAAACGTCCCAAAAAACTACAGACCAGCCGAATATTTTCCCACTACTTACAAACTGTTTCTGATAAAACAGACATATTCCTTCTTAGAAAAGAAATGTCACACGACCTCTTGAACAAAAAAGGGCTTAAATGTGGCTCTTACGGGTGTAAAGACCAATTACTTATTAAGAGGATGATCTTGAAAAACTGCTTCAATACAAGGAAAAAATCTCAGTACTGCCTGGATAGATTGCTGTAAGACACATTGATAATGTATCCCATTCATGGATCTTAAAGTCTTTAAATATATACAAGGTATTACTCGTTGTCATCAATTGCATCAAAGTATATCGTTATAGAAAACAACACTTCACCTCAATCGTATGAATGGAATCTATAAGTCTGGTGAAATAAGCATCAACAGAGGAATATTTCAATGTGATTCTTTGTCTCTATTACAAATTGCTATATTTCTAATAGCATTAACCAGCAAATAGGACGAAATATGGCTATAAGATATCTCAAAAGAAAATAAGACATCTATTTTACATGGATGACTTAAAGTTGTATTCTAGGAACCTGGAATGTCTCCTGAAAACAGTAAAATGTTTCAGTGATAACAATGGAATGGAATTCGGTTTGGATAAATGTGCTAAATCCACAATTTGACAAGGATTACTACTATAAAGCTTTTCTGTTACTTTAGACCCTGGGGTAACAATCACAGCTTTAGAGCAAGAAGAAGCTGATAAGTACCTTTGGTGTAAATAAGGGCGAAAGAATTCACCATAAAAAATGAAAAAAATAGTGCAAAAAGTGTACTATAAAAGGGTTTGACTGATATCAAGAACTGAATTGAATTCTCAGAAGAGAATTATGGCTATTAATAGCCTTGATCTTCCATTGGTTCAATATAGTTTCACCATTTTGAACTGGGCTCTAAATGACATCAGACGAATGGATTCTAAAACAATAAAGCTTCTTTCTAAGCATAGGATACATTGTTCAAAGGTTGATACAGACCGTTTACACATACCTAGTAAAAAAGACGGAAGAGGTCATATTCATCTAGAATTGTCATACAAGGCAACTATTGGTTTACTAACATATATGGAAACAACAAAGGACTGAATGATACAATGAGTCAACCAACACGAAAACGGAAAGAAAAAAATATACAGTCGTGAAAGAAGGTTGTACATACAAACGAGATTTACATTTAATAGATTCCGTAGAAAACCAAAATATAACCCAAGAACCAACAGTTGCAGCAAAAAAGATGAAAAAAAGAAAGCCAAGGATAAAGATCTTGAACAGATGAAAACGCTGGCAAGACAAACGTTTGCATGGCCAATATCCAGAAAGTTCTACGAAAGAAAAAGATGATGAAGTTACCATCCATCAATTGTTACAAGGATTTGGATTAAAGGCTGAAACGGAATTCTTTATTCTTGTAGAGCAAGACCAGATATTTTTTCACTTGGAACATTCAGGGAAATATACGTACATAATATGTGTAGATCCAAATTCAGATTCCGTGACAAATATCAGGAAAACATAGGCCACCTGATCTCAGGATATTCTGCAGTTGCGCCAAATGAATCTAAAAATCATCACGATAGAGTGGGGCAATACTTACACTGGACAATGTGCAAACACTTTGGAAAAGATGTTAATAAACACTGGTGTTTATCAGTTACAGAAATAGAAGACATCGCAATTCTATGGGATTACACCATCTTTACAGACTGGAAGATTTAAGCAAATAATCCAGTCTTAATTGTCAAAAACCTAAAAGAAAAAAGAAAAAAAACTTGCTGACTCATTGATATGGCTTGTCCAGCGGACTATAACGTAGCAACTAAGGTATTTGAAAAACTAACTAAGTATGAAGACCTGGGAATCGAAATAAAAAAAATGTGGAAATAGAAAACAAGAATAGTACCAGTCATAATAGGTGCGCTTGGAATGATAAAAAAGGAACACAACAACAGATTGAAAAATTTCTGGAATTCCCAGTTTAAGAGAAATACAAATATTGTCTTGACAAGTACAGACCACGCAATGAGAAGAACTTTGTCAATGTAGGGCTATTGATGTTATGGGAGTTAGAAAAACAATTCTTGAAATGTAGCCATAACAACACACCACTACCTGCCTTAGATCTTCTTGCAGACTTGGTAGGCAGTGTGACCATGGCCGAAATCGAAATATAATATAATAATAATAATAATAATAATAATAATGAACACCACCCAGACCCGGTTACGGAGATAGGACCTGTTACAATTCTATGGGACTACACAATACACACCGACAGAACAATCAAGGCCAACCGCCCAGATATTGTTATTAAAGACCACAAAAACGTGCCTCCTTATTGATATGGCAGTCCCTGCTGACTGCAATGTATCTTTGAAGATATTCAAAAAGCTGTCAAAATACAAGGACCTTGAAATAGAAATCTCAAAAATGTGGCACATGGGAATATCAACAATCCCTGTTGTAGTTGGAGCCCTAGGATTGGTTGGAAAAGATTCCAGTAGACTAATTGAAGGGATTCCTGGAAGTCCATGCCTCAAAGTGATACAAAAAAATGTTCTCACAAGTACAGCCCACACTTTACGAAGAGCTTTATCTATGTAATTTTTTTTTTTTTTTGTCAGTGGAAAGTGTCATGATGCCATTTCTAACCTTAGGTCCCTGGGCGGGATCCGGAAAGAAATATGTAAACGCCAGAAATCAAAGAAAATAATAATAATAATAATAATAATAATAATAATAACTGGTTTTAATCCGTGAAAATTTCGGTTTTTCAAATTCAAATTTCTGATGAAACTTAATTCTTCAGTTTAGGATTAAAGAAACACATGGCGACATCTACGAAAATAAAATATCCGGATAAATACCCCCATCGCATTGTTAAATATTTGTGCTTAACAACTTGAATAAATTATTGCAATGACAATCATAAATATGAATGCTGGTTGTTACTTTAAGAAGTAAGGGGGTACAAATGAAAAGATTTGAAATTGACATTTTTTCCATTTCAGTGAAACTGCCGTTAAACACTACTTTCCTTCCTTCCTTCCTTCCTTCCTTCCTTCCTTCCTTCCTTCCCACATTGAAAGCAAGTAGGGCCTTTTCCCCTCTTTCTATGCGATCAAAACGGTATATTCCAGTATTTATGAGATATCGGCAGATGTTAAACACATCTATCTATCTATCTATCTATCTATCTATCTATCTATGTATTTGTTTCTTTCTTTTATTTTCGCATTGAAACCAAGTAGTGCCTTCCCCTCTCTTTCTCCGCGATCAAAATGGAATAATCCATTATTTATGAGGCATTGGCAGAAGACTTTAAAAACTTCTATCTATCTATCTATCTATCTATCTATCTATCTATCTATCTATCTATCATTCATTTTCACATTGAAACCAAGTAGTGTGTTTTCCCCTCTTTCTATGTGATCAGAACGGAATAGTCCATTATTTATGAGGTATTGGCAGGATACGTTAAACACATCTATCTATCTATCTATCTATCTATCTATCTCTCTTTTTTATAATCTGTTCCTATCTATCTATCTATCTGTGTCTTTCATTTTCACATTGAAACCAAGTAGTGCCTTTCCCCCTCTTTCTACGCGATCAAAATGGAATAATCCATTATTTATGAGGCATTGGCAGGAGACTTTAAAAACATCTATCTATCTATCTATCTATCTATCTATCTATCTATCTATCTATCTATCTATCTATCTATCATTTTCTCACTGAAAACAAGTAGCGTCATTTCCCCTCGATCCACGCGATCAAAACGAAATAGTCCATTATTCATGAGGTATTGGCAGCGCGTAGCGGTCACGCGAACTAACGAAGGAATGGCCAAGCATAATTAAAATAGAACAGGAAAAAATATGTTTCAAATGATGTCATTTTTGACGTCATGTGTAAACTAGATTTAACTGGACATGTTCTGTTTTTGTGGGGATGCTGGTATTTTTAAAAATATTTTTTATGGTAGTTTTTATTCTTATTCAACGAGTTTTAAAAAGGAAATTCTTTTCCGTGAAACTCTTAAACTGTGCCACTTGAAATGACAGGAACAGGAAGCGGTACCTTAGAATTACGCCGGTTGAAAGTAGAGTGAAGCAAACAACAATTGGTGAGAATGCTAGTTCGAACAAACCATTCGCTAATAACAATATCTCCTCTCAAAATTAGACCGCAAGGAGAATAACGTTTGAAGAGGGCGAAAAACCCCGCCTTCCATCGAATTTAATAAAAGCTGATGTTCTTACTTCTTTTTTTTAAAGTCCTTTTATCCCAAGAAAGGCGATAATGCCATTAAGACACAAGGAGTTGCTGAGAGTGAGCGAAAATATAAAAAACGTTAATGAAGAGAAAGGGTAATAAAAGAACAAAGTTCAGGAAAAAGAAAAATGGCGATTGAGGCTTGTTGTGGATTCCGTGAAGGGAATCCTGCACAAATAAATAAACAACGCCAGTAATTGAGATAGAAAAATAAGTGTATTAAACGTAAGAATACAGACTTGAAGTGAAGATTAGTAGTCCAGGAATGCGGGTTAGTAGGAATTATATGTACAAGTCTCTGTAAGTAAAGCCGTAATCATCTCTCTCTCTCTGTGGACTCTTGTATAACTCTCTGAGAACACCCTGTGTCTGTCTCCGTATCTCTCAGCCTGTCTCAACGTATTTCCACGTATCTCAACGCATCTCGATATTTAACAGTCCACCCACGAGGAATGTTTGTGGCACAAGACCGAGTTTAACGTGGGTTTCTCCGAGCCCGTAGGCTCAGCCATAAAATATCCCCTTTGAACCCGCCTAGACGGGTTCAGGCCCTGTCTACCTCCCCGGACGAAACCTTGCTCTTCGGCAAAGCTTCGTCCGGGTTCCTCTCTGCCAAAGCAGAGAGTTCGACAGACGTCTCACACAGTCATAGACTGTACCTCAACGTATCTCAACACAGCAGGTATTCTCGCTGTCTGTATAAGTATACTTTGGACGAGTCCATCTTATGTAAAAAGGGGAGCGCCCCACAACAAGGTTGCACTTAAATTTTTGAAGATTGTAGGTGACAGTAAAGTAAGAAAGCGGAAGAGAGTTACACAGGTGGGAAGTGCGAGAGAAGAAACTATTAGAAGAGAACTTGCGGTTCCATCTAGCTATTTCGACAGTCAAACGGTGAGACCTATTCTAGAAATCAGCGTTTATTTTCGACCATCTACTTAAAATGCTGTTGTTTTTTAAAAACATTTTTCCGTGAAACACTTAAATTGTGCCACAAATGACAAGAACAGAAGACGATGTCCTTGAATCGACTGAAAATATTATGAAACAAACAACAATGATGAAAATGTTCATTTTCTTCTCTTTTCCTCTATATAGTAATCTCCCTTGTAGTAACGACGGGGTTGGCAGTGTTTTTTTTTTTCGTTTTTTTTTTTTGTTTGTTTGTTTTTTTATAAAAGTAGAAAACACAAATATTTACGGACCCAGGAAAATAAAAAAATAAAAAAGAAATTGGAAAAATAACTGAGAAAAATGGAATAATAAAATGATGTTATTTTTTTAAGACGTGTGTAAATTAGACTTAATTAGACGTGTACTTTTTTATTAAATTAGTTGATTTTTTTTTTATATTTTTATGGTGGTATAATAACCCTATTATAATAACAACGGATTATTATGGATTAAGTGTTACTTACTAATAATCTCTTTCTTTTCGATGCGTTTCTATCATCACCAGTTAATTTAACTTGTATATATATATATATATATATATATATATATATATATATATATATGAATAAAAATGACAATAGGAAAACTGGTAATTGCTGACGCGTTTCGTCCAATGCGGACTTTATCAAAGCAAAATACGAAAATAAAATTAAATGAACAAAGTAACTAATAAAAACAAAAACAGAATGTACCTAACAACTGGAATGTAGAGAAACGCTATTTTCATATTTTTTTAAACTGAAAAATAACGTCAGAGATTGTCACGTATGGAGAATATTGTCATTATATCTGTGTTGATGTATTCAGCCATTTTCTTTCGATTTTATGAATCTGTTGTGCATATTTGTTTGTAAGAGTATTAATTTTGTTAAGAAAGGTGAAATAGGGAAAAGCCTGGGCGTAAATTAATATTTGGATAATTTTCTATGGCGGCACTCCAGAATTTTCCTTCTGAGTGAGTTATTTTTTTTTTTTATGAGTGTAGCATTTTTAAAATCAAAATTATGGTTGTATTTATTTCTATGTATGACTATTGCATTAGCTAAGTTGTTTTTTGTGAGGTCTCTTTTGTGCTCATAAATGCGTTTTTTCAAACTTCTACTTGTTTCTCCAATATATTGGGAGGAGCAGTTTTGGCAATTTATTTTTATGCTATTATTGTTTGAAGATCTTAGTATATCTATAATGGTTTTGGAAGTGTTTGTGACTATTTCAAAAATATTTAGATTGGATAGGTTATTCTGGATCGTGGACGTGGCAGAATTGGTCGGTAGTATTATATATCTGTTTTCATGTGATTTACTATTGCGGATCTTCTGTTGGTAAATGTGTTTATCCATAATTACAATGCAAGAAGAAAGGCATACAAAATATACAAACGAAACAAAACTAATAACACAATCCGCTTGAAGATGGAACATAGCTTGGTACTTAAATTCAATTTAATTCAAATAATTATATTGAAGTTTTCGGCTCTTGTTTTGAAACAGGAGAACTCTTATGTAGCGTGCTGGAATCATATTTTTAAATAAATAATTATATTTAGGCTCTACTTTTGTATCGAGAACTGTTTTTTAAAAATAATAACAAAAATACTAAGGAACTTTGGATTATTTACCTAACGAGTTCTCTCTGTATTTTCTATATATTTTACACACACACACACACACACACACACACACACACACACACACACACACACACACACACATATATATATATATATATATATATATATATATATATATATATATATATATATACATATATATATATATATATATATATATATATATATATATATATATATATATATAAAAGTGAACATTGAAGTCAACAGTTAGAGGTGACAGGCTGTTTCAGCACTTAGAGGCGTCAGACCTGACGATTCAGTCTAGCATGAAACAGCCTGTCGCCGCTAATTGTCTACTTCAACGTTTACTTTTATATTTACACACGCTCTATCTCTAATATTGAGCACTATCCCATAAATATAATACACTTTTTCGAATTCCAGTCGAATCCATTACATTGACTTGGGAAAGGTATTAATTCTCCTCTTATCCATCCAGCTATGGGTAAATAGGTTAGTGTGCTAACTGATATCATTGTGGGAAGACGTACAGCTCCATGGTTCACATTTGTTTTGAAATGCTTCACGCCTTTTTTGTCTATTTTTACCATGACTGAAAGTATGCTTGTCGTAAACTGAAAGAACATATGGAAATTGATCCAGACCTTTTTTGAAAATGTCATCACTGGTGACGAAAGCTGGTGTTATGGCTACGAGGCCCAAACGATACATCAATCAAGTCAGTGGAAGATAGAACGCTTGGATTAAGTGTTACTCACGAACAATCTCTTTCTTCATGATTTTCAATGTGTTTCTGTCATCACCAGTTAATTTAACTTATATATATATATATATATATATATATATATATATATATATATATATATATATATATATAGGAATCGGAGAGCCGAGTTCAAATTCCAGTCAAATCCATTACATTCACTTGGGAAAAGTATTAATCCTCTTCTTTTCCCTCCAGCTATGTGTAAACAGCGGGACTGACTGGTTTCTATAGCCTTGGATGGCAACTGGTCTAGGAGAAGGAAAACTCTGAATTCAAAACCTGCAGAGAGTCGTTTGGGGACCTTGTGGCATATATATATATACACCAGGTCTCTGTATTCGGCTCTTCAGAAAGTGTGGTTGGTTCTGCACAAAATCTTCCCCACTATAATCAAATCATATGTGCTGGTGTCTGGCTGTCGGTTTCTAGGAATTGAGCTGCTTGGCCCTCATACGTCGAATACGACGGAGGGTCCATATATATATATATATATATATATATATATATATATAGATAGATAGATAGATAGATAGATAGATAGATATAGATAATTATTTATTTAAAAATATGATTTCAACACGCTACATAAGAGTTCTCATGTTTCAAAACAAGAGCCGAAAATTTCAATATAATTATTTGAATTAAATTGAATTAAAGTACTAAGCTCCGTTCCATCTTCAAGCGAATTTTTTTGGAATAACTTATTTCTGAAATTTACGCGTTTTATAAGCATATTCATTATTGAAATCAAAATTACTATGGTAACGGTTAGAGCAATTGTTTAAAGAAAAGAGGCGTAAGGTGTTAATAATTTGTATCAATATCCCAGTTACATTCACAGATGTCAAGTCAGGGTAAGGTTGGGGTGTCTAAATTTATGCGGAAGATGACGTCGTCTAGTCTGGTTAAGTGTCTATGGAGATTTATTTATTTTTTTATTTTATTTTTTTCTGAAAGGGTTTTGTGTATATAAAAACTGTCGTAAGTCGCTAACATTTGTTTTTTGACGACTTCATAAAGGGTTATCTTTTTTTGTAGGGCATTTAAACTATAGACTTTGGAATTTAAAAATTATTTTATTGTTTGTTTGTTTTTATGGTAATTATTCAATGCGAAAATTTGATGATGTCGGCAAAAAACCATTAACTC